TGGCAAGAACCCTTCCACCCAGCTCTGGTCAATGATGGGAAATGATTCAAGGAAACAAACACACATTTTCACATATGCACATACACACACTCCCTTGGGCAAGCCTGTGCAGTAAAGCAATATATGCTTACCTTATCTTCAGCCCTCCTGAGTATGCAGGAACCGAGTGAAGGCAACAACCACACACACATACAAAAGTTCCTGTTTAAAAAAACCACAGTGAAGAGTCACGAGGGGGGGGTGCCTCCAGGAAATCCCAGAGTGCGGTTGGCACCTTCCTCTTCCTGAGCCTCCCCTTGGACCAAACACCTCTCCTGCCTGGCTTGCCAAAAATGATATGCAGGTTCTGAGATTTTGCTGGTTAAAGAAATACAGGAAACTAGAAGTTGCCTTCAAGTTTATGTGTTAATTCAGCTGAATAGAGACGGGCTTCTGTACAAAAGACCCAAAAGCCCCAAATAGCAAAGAGAGCTTATTTTTATAGTCACTTTGGTTACATAAGCAATTCACCCAGCTAGGCTGGCAAACATAAGATTAAGACTTCGCCCTTTAAGGCTGGCACACTGTAGATAAGACAAGCAGAAGTAGCTAGTATGTTCTCTCAAGAGAGTTTCCCCAAGACCATATGTTAAGTCTTGGGTGTTGTGGGTGCTGTGAGTGTTGCCCCAACATGCCAGATGTTCTTAGGTGGGTTTAGAACATTGCATGTTTCTTTGCTGTCCATTCATGACCCTTCATTCATAGGCCTACAAGTGACCAGAGACAGAGGGGCCATCTGTATATTGATACTGTCCGCTGGGTCCTGGTCACCAGCTCTGCCAGTTGGCTTGGGGCCCCGGCTGAGGAATTGCACAATGGAGTTGCTGGATGGAATAATAACAGATCCCACTCCCACCCCACTCCATCCGCGCCCTCCCCATCTTTCTTTGGCTTTAACTTTTTATATTTTAACTAAGATTATAATGTAAGCCACCCAGAGTTACCCTAGGGTAAGATGGACAGCCAATGAGTTCTGTAAATAAATAAATATATAAATAAATAAAATCCTCAACCATGATCAAAGCCTACCTGAATCCTTGCACACAAATGCCACCAACAACAATGCAAATAGCAAAGCTTTCATCTTGCAATCTCTCCTGCAGCCTTCGAAGTGCAGTCCAGGATGGGAGAAGGCAGTTTTATATTTATATATATCACTGCCCCACCTTATGGGGGCTGGAGATCCAGGTTCAAGAGAGAAGAGCAGGGAGACTTCGGAAAGAAGGGACGGGTGGGGGGTGATTTCATGTTCCCCACTACACAAAGGGAAATCGGTTTGGTAAGCTGAGATTTATGGCCAGGATGTTCAGTACATAGCAGGCAAGAGAACACCCTGCTTAAATGGTTCCGTTCTGGGTGTTCTTTCTATGCTTGAAGTATCCCTGCAAAGGTTTCCTGATCAGGCCAGGTAACACTGTCCATGCATGAGAGCGTGAGGTTTTCCTTCCAGACTATGCTTGGATCATTCTATGTCACCTGCTTAAAAAAGGCATCTGTAGGAAAACAGCCATGATCAGAGAGAAGAATCAGTTTGGGAACAGGAACAGGATCTGGAGCAGAAACTGATGTAGGTGTAGGATCAGGAACAGGAGCTGCTGGAGGAAGATGTTTCGTTGCTGGATGCTCCAACAATGAAGGGACCCATTTGATAAATTGGAGGTGCTTCTTCATGGCTTCTGAGAAGAGCCAGTAGCTTAAAGAGCTCCTTCTTTAGCATCGCCATCTTCCAGAGATGCTTGATGGCTCACTCATTCAGCAGGTCAGAGTCAAAAGAGCACTTGGGAAACAAGATGAGCATCTCGCAACTCTGAAGTTTGAGGATCTGCAAGGAAAGTCCTTATGCCTTCTTTTTGTCACTTTGCTCACAACTCCTGAATTCAACATTTTCCTTCATATACCTTCACTAGGAGGGTGCTAGCTCTTCACTAGATAAGAATATATTGATAACACTTCTCTGTTCTTCCCAGTTGTGCCTCTCAGCACACCAACGATTGCAATAAGGAAACATTTTCCTCTGCATATTTTTAATGTAGACCTGTTGGGTCTTCATTAGATAAGATCAATTGAAACGGAAATAATCTTTGTTTATTTACCAGCCAAAGTACAATGTGAAATAATTCCATTTAAGCAATAAAATTATGCCAACTTTCTGCTTTTCTCAATTATGCCTGTTGCACATCAGCAGTAATGACAGCAGGGAAGGGTAAAAGCAAAGAGTATAGAGGCAGCTATAGCCACTCTGAAACTAAACTAAACCAACTCAGGAAGTAAACAAAGCACCAGAAGGCAAAACAAGAAACAATGGATGGAAACTAATCAGGGAGAGAAGCAACCCGGAATTAAGGAGAAACTTCCTAACAGTGAGGACAATTAACCAGAGGAACGACTTGCTTCCAGAAGTTGTGAATGCTCCATCACAAGAGGTTTTTATGAAAAAACTGGATAGTCACCTCTCTGAAATGGTCTAGGACAGGGGTGTCGAACTGCCGGCCAATGGGCTGGACACGTCACGTGGAAGCCGCGCCCACCCCATTGCCGGAAATGGCAAAACTGTCCCAATACGTTGCGTGACGTCACGTGACATCACAAGTTTGACATGTCTGGTCTAGGGTCACCTGCTTGAACAGGAGGTTGGAAAAGAAGACCTCCAAATTCCCTTCCAGATCTCTTCTCTATTCTAGAACTTCACAGGATCTTGATTCTACCCCTCTGTTAATTGGCTTTTTTGGCTGGTGCCACACACCGTTGGTTCATATTTAAGTGATTGTCCACTAGGGATTCAAGATCCCTTTCACACTTACCAGAATTAAGACAAGTTTCACCTAGTCTGTAACTATTTAGTTGGGGGGGGGGGCTTTGCCCAGGTGTAAAACCTTATTTTTATCTATGTTGCATTTAATTTTGTTAGGTAGAGCCCTGTTTTCAAGTCTCTCAAGTTCTTTTTGGATCCTGAGCTTTCTTCTGGGGTGTTGGTAGTCCTGCACATTGAATAGTCAATATATTTGATTGGTTTCCATACTATTTCCTCATCTAGATTGTTAATGACGATATTGAAGAGAACTGGGCCTTGCAATACCCCATTGCTTACTTCCCTCTGTTGAGTTCCGTTGAGGACTACACATTGAGTATGATTAATCAACCAGTTACAAACCCATCTAGTGATGGTGCTGTCCATCTCACTTTTTTTTAGCTTACCAAGAAGTAGGTTGTGTTTTCTTTTGTCTTATGCTTTACTGAAATCCAAGTACATTATGTCCACAGCATTTCGCTGATCCATAATTTAGTCACTTTATCAAAAAACCAAATAACAAAATTTGTTTTCGACAAAGTCATGTTGGCTTCTGGTTACAACTTAAACTAATTTGAAATTTCTATTGGGAATATTCAGCAGGTCAAACTATATATAGTTATGTTAATCAAGGGGGGGGGGAGAACACATTTTGGGCAGCTTTAGTCATCAAAGTAATTTTATTGTTTTGTTTGTTTATCATGAAATTATTTGCTGTCCTTCTAGTATTCAACATCTCTGGGCAGATTGCTTGATTGGGTTCCTTGACACCCACTTCAGGCCAGGCCCCACACCTTTGCCAACCCACCACAATCATTCATCTTCACATGGCCTTCCTCCAGTGCTCCTCCACTGCCACTGGTCCACTGGTGCTCCTACTCTGACCACTTGTCCTAGGCAATTTTGCCAAGGGACATTTGCCCCGGCCAATTCACAGCCCAGGACAACTAGCTGTGCATTCTGGCAGCCAATCTGCATACTAAATGGAGAAGCGCTGCCTTCCCATTGGACTCGGCAGTGCCTGGTGGGACAGGCAGTGGCCTCTGGTGCAAGGGGGGCACAGTGTTTCCACTGCCACCACTGCAAATTGCATCCTGCCTTGTCGGGCTCTTCATCCAGATCCTCTGGGGTGCTCCGGTGTTGTGGGAAAGACATGGATACAGAGTGGGGTTAGGCAGGATGCAATGGGCGGCCATGGTGGGAGAAGCACATTGCCTCCCCAGCATTGGAGGCCACTTCCTGCTCCACCCTGTAGTGTCAAGTCCAATGGGAAGGCAGAGGCCCACCCTTCGGCACATAGATTGGATGCCGGGACACCTGGATAATTGTCAGTGGGTAGAGAAAGCCATGAGATGAACAGATATGTCGGTTTTTAGGGCAGTGCATAATACACCACTGCTCCACCAGCTGCGTTGGTTGCCAGCTTGCTTCCTGGTCCAGTTCCAGGTATTGGTTGTATCCTTTGAAGCCCATCAGGGAGATGGACTAAGCTATCCATAGGACTCTCTCCTCCCAGTTACTGTAGTGTACAGCATTCCACAACATTAGAAGTTTAGTAAGTGACCAAATATGGAACTGGAATGCACGGATCAGGGATTACGCTGAGCCCAGTCAGGGATAGGAAAGGATTGGAGCAGGAGTCCAACTTCCAGGTCTTCCTCCAAACCATGCTGCTTCTAAAGGAAACTGATGTATTTATGCACCACCTGAGATGGGCATCTAAGGCAGACCTGCACCCATTGGAGAAGGAAGAGGATTCAGGGGTTTCGCCCATGGCACATATAAACTGCCTGACCTGAGAATGTAAACCAGCTGGAAAGGTGCCAGCTTAGAAATCTCTTTTTTCATTTCAATCCTGGTTTGGCCATGGTGATGGATCAAGGTTCTATCAAGGCTGTGTTTAGCAGAGCTCCTGATAGAGGGATTCCCCCTCTTTTTTAATCTCCTGGATCTCTTTAAGGAAGGACATGGAATGACACTCATCTTCAATGTGTTTTCATGTCATTTCTCGCAGAAGGCCCATGCATGCTCGTCACTCTTACTCAGTTTCAGAAAAATAATAATAAAAATTGATCTGTAAAATGGATTACAAAAAAACAAACAAACCTTCAGGCTTCTACTATTCTACAATTTAACTTTTAAAAAAGGAAAATGGACATAGCACCGACTCCACTTGAATTTAAATGCAGAAATTTATTCCGTTACCAAACTACAGAAAGAGCAGAACAAATCTTGTAGGCCAGGAGAAAAGGGAGAGAAGGCGAGGTGTCAAAAAAAAAAAAAAAAAGCCGAGGGAGTGAATTATGGACCGTAAAGGCCACAAGCCTAAATCTGCAAAGGATGGTCCCTGATGGATGGCAGCAAAACTCAGAAGGATATTTTAATAAAGCTAGTTGCAAAAGTCAGTTCTGCAACATTCAACCGGCTTTCCTTCGACGGGTTTAGGGCACTTTCGAGCACATCCTTTGACTTTTTGGACAGCTGCAAAGGAAACATAAAGCAAAACATTTGATGCAAAGAATTGATATGTGGCTATTTCTGAACAAAATAGTAAACCTACACTGGACACAGTCATGCATTCCCACACATCATAAAGGCAGACCTCTTTACTCTTCTACTGACTACTTGGGAGTAAAATAGTAAGCAAGCATTCTGGGGAAGGTCCTCCTCCCTTGGATATTTCATTGCACAACAACAATAACAACAACAACAATAATAATAATAATAATAATAATAATAATAATAATAATAATAATAATAAAGTTGGAAGGGGCCTTGGAGGTCATCTAGTCCAACACTCTGCTCAGGCAGGAAACCCTATACTATTTTGGACAAAAGACTGTCCAGTCTCTTCTTAACAATTTCCAGTGTTGGAGCATTCACCGCTTCTGGAGGCAGGTTGTTCCACTGGTCAATTGTTCTAACTGTCAGGAAGTTTCTCCTTAGTTCCAGATTGCTTCTCTCCTTTCTTAGTTTCCATCCGTTGCTTCTTGTCCTGCCTTCAGGCACTTTGGAGAATAGCTTGACTTCCTCTTCTTTGGGGCAGCCTCTGAGATATTGGAACACTGCTATCATGTCCCCCCTCATCCTTCTCTTCATTAAACTAGACATTCCCTATTCCATCAACCTTTCCTTATATGTTTTAACCTCCAGTCCCCTAATCATCTTTGTTGCTCTTCTCTGTACTCTTTCTAGAGTCTCAACATCTTCTTTACATAATGGTGATCAAAACTGGATGCAGTATTCCAAGTGTGGCCTTACCAAGGCATTGTAAAGTGGTATTAACACTTCACGTGATCTTGATTCTATCCCTCCGTTAATGCAGCCTAGCACTGTGTTGGCCTTTTTGGCAGCTGCAGCACACAGCTGGCTCATATTTCAATGATTGTCCACTAGGACTCCTAGATCTCTCTCACAGTTGCTACCATTGAGCAACGTACCCCCTATACTATACATGTGCATTTGGTTTTTCTTGCTTAAATGTAGAATCTTACTTTTTTCACCACTGAATTTCATTTTGTTAGATAGCGCCCAGTGTTCAAGTCTGTCTAGATCCTTCTGTATCTTAAGCCTGTCTTCTGGAGTGTTGGCTATTCCTGCCAGCTTGGTGTCGTCTGCAAATTTGATGAGTTCCCCATCTATCCCCTCATCCAAATCGTTGATGAAGATGTTGAAGAGTACTGGGCCCAGAACAGAGCCCTGGGGCACCCCACTACACACTTCCCTCCATGTAGATGCGGTTCCATTGAGGACCACATGCTGAGTATGGCCGGTCAGCCAGCTACAGATCCATCTGGTGGTGATGCTGTCTAACCTGCATTTTTCTATCTTATCAAGTAGTAGGTTGTGATCTACTTTATCAAATGCCTTACTGAAGTCTAAGTAAATTATATCCACAGTATTCCTCTGATCCACTAATTTTGTCATTTGGTCAAAGAATGCAATAAGATTTGTCTGGCATGATCTGTTTTTGATAAATCTATGTTGGCTTTTAATAATGACTTTGTTTGCCTCTAGGTGTTCGTTGATTCGTTGTTTGATTATCTTTTCCAGAATCTTCCCAGATATTGAGGTCAGGCCGATAGGTCTGTAATTTCCTGGGTCCATTTTTTCTTTTCTTTTTTGAAGATGGGAACTACATTAGCTTTTTTCCAGTCCTCTGGTAGTTCCCCAGTGCTCCAGGATCTTTGAAAAATATAGTTCAGTGGTTCTGAGATCACATCTGCCAGTTCCTTAAGAACCTTGGGGTGTAATCCATCTGGTCCTGGTGATTTGAACTCGTCTAGGCTGGACAGGTGCTCACTTACCATTTTCTTGCCTATCTTAACTTGTGTTTCTGGTCTGTTTTTTATGGCACTATTTTTGATAAGTTGGTCTGTTTTTCCCCTTTGTGTAAAGACAGATGCGAAAAATGAGTTAAATCTTAATCTGCAAGGTCCAAACTTGGTCAGGTCCACAGGAACCCCAGCTCCACCAGCCTTTTCCTCCTCCCACCTTTCTATAAAGAACGTGCCCCTCCCAAACTGGGGTGCTCCTGGGATGGATGGGGTTCCCATTCTAAGCCCCCCCTTTCCTGCCATCCCTTAGACTTTCTGGCCACGACCTCAGGGGAACCAGGACAGGGCACAGAAAGGTCCTAGGTGATCTCCAATCCTGAGCTGCATTTGGGAGTTCTAGTTTCTGTACGAGAAGAAAAACTGTCAGAAAGGATAGGAACTTGGCTTACCATAAGTATTATGCACAGTATAACAGAACGTTTCTTCTTTCGAACATGGTAATTTCACATTGCAAAAAAATTCACCGCACGTGTAACATTGTAGACTCGTGACTGTATGAAAGAAATAAAAGAGAGCAAACTCACTTTGGCATTTATTTCTTTGTTCTTGTCTTATTATGTATTGGATCACAGATTATCGAACAATAAGGTTGGCTGTGAAAATTTCACCAGAAAGAGAATAAAACGATCTGCAGACAAGGAGTCTGTGAGTTCCAGTCCAGCCTCAGCCAAGAAGGCATTTGGGGGGCTGTGGGCCAGTCCCTCTTTCTCTCCCCCAATATATTTTATTGGGTCGTTGTTCAGAAATCGTTAAGGAATTCCAGCAATGTCGACCAATCTCAGGTTGATGCCAAGGATAATCCGTGCTTGACTTGAAGGAGGCATCTCTGATCCCCTTTGGTTGCACCATCGAAAACGCTGAATGTCAGCAAAGCCGGAGGGAGGCAGAGGGAGGGCAAAGACAATGGAACATTCTTCCTTTCGCTCCCAAGAGTATTTCCATGGCAGAATTCACTATGCAAAGGAACCTCTACTTTCGGAGGCAGTCTACCCCAGAAGAACAGCTGGGCCAAGCACTGTCTCAGCGATGGGCTTCTCTCCAAATGGAGACCTCCTCTTTTTCCCTAAAGGCTCCCAGGGACCCTCCCTATGGAGAGCAGAACAGGGAGAAAGTCATACCGCCAGAATGGGGCACAACTGCTTCGAATACCACACTTTGCTCCCATCCCTCAGTCTTTCTTTGATCGTTCATATTTCCACTCTGGGTGACCCAAGAGATGCTGTCACCACCTTCTCACGGTAATGTGCCCCAAATGGGGCCACCCTTGAAGAGCATTCAGAGGCTACAGCTGGTGCAGAGTGCAGCAGCGCAGGTATGTTTGGGGTGCCCACGAATGGTCCCTGTAGCCCCACTGCTCCGTGAGCTCCACTGGTTACCGTTCTGCTTCTGGGTGCAATTCAAGGTGTTGGGGGTCCCCTTTAAAGCCCTTCATGGCAGGTGTGCAGGTTAGTCTCACCCCCCCCTGGGATTGGCCCGTCCCATTCATGCCAGCAGAGGAGGCCTGCTGAGGGTCACACCAGTCTGACTATTCCAGCTGGAGGGAGCTGGAGGAGGGTCTTCTCTGCTGTGGGTCCTTCCCTCTGGAACATCCTGACCCCCAATGTGAGGTGGGCCCCAACCCTCCTGTCTTTTTGCAAGGGCCTAAAGATGGGGCTCTGCCAGTCGGCTTAGGGCCTCGACTGAGGAATTGCGCAACCGAGGTGCTTGATGGAGTAATAACAGATCCCATACTTCCACCCCACTCCATCCCCGCTCTCCCCATCTTTCGTTGGTTTTCATGTTTGATTTTAACTTTTTATCTTTTAATGTAACTAGCTGACCAACGGCACTGAGTGTGTGGCCCTCAATGGAACTACTTGTATATGGAGGGAAGAATGCAATGGGGTACCCCAGGGCTCTGTTCTGGGCCCAGTGCTCCTCAACATCTTCATCAATGATTTGGACGAGGGGATACATGGAAAACTCATCAAATTTGCAGACAACACCAAGCTGTCAGGAATAGCCAACACTCCAGAACATAGGGTTAAGATATAGAAGGATATGGACAGACTTGAATAACGGGCGCTATCTAACAAAATGAAATTCAATGGTGAAAAAAGTAAGGTTCTACATTTAAGCAAGAAAAACCAAATGCAATAGTATAGGGGGTACCTCGCTCAATAGTAGCAACTGTGAGAGGGACCTCGGAGTCCTAGTGGACAATCATTTAAATATGAGCAAGCAGTGTGCTGCAGCTGCCAAAAAAGCCAACACAGATCTGGGCTGCATTAACAGAGAGATAGAATCAAGATCATGTGAAGTGTTAATACCACTTTACAATGTCTTGGTAATGCTACACTTGGAAAACTGCATCCTGTTTTGGTCACCACAATGTAAAAATGCTGTTGAAACTCTAGAAAGAGAGCAGAGAAGAGCAACAGAGATGATTAGGGGACTGGAGGCTAAAACATGCAAAGACAGGTTGCTGGAATTGTCCAGTTTAATTAAAAGAAAGACTAGGTTTACATGATAGCAATCTTTCAATATCTCAGGGGTTGCCCCAAAGAAGAAGGAGTCAAGCTAATCTCCAAAACGCCTGAAGGCAGGACAAGAAGCAACAGATGATAATTAACCAAGAAGAAAAGCAACCTAGAACTAACGAGAAATTTCCTGTTAGAATAATTAACCAGTGGAACAACTTGCCTCCAGAAGTTATGGATGTTCCAACACTGGATGATGTAAGATTTAAGAAAAGATTGGACAACCATTTGTCTGAAGATCCCTTCCACCTTTGTTGTTGTTGTTAATTGCGAAGTCGTGTCCGACCCATCGCGACCCCATGGACAACGTTCGTCCAGGTCTTTCTGTCCTCTACCATCTTCTGGAGTCCATTTAAGTTCACACCTACTGCTTCAGTGACTCCATCCAGCCACCTCATTCTCTGTCGTCCCCTTCTTCTATTGCCCTCAATCTTTCCCAGCATTAGGCCCTTCTCCAGTGAGTCCTTCCTTCTCATTATGTGGCCAAAGTATTTGAGTTTCAACTTCAGGATCTGGCCTTCTAAAGAGTAGTCAGTGTTGATCTCTTCTAGGACTGACCGGTTTGAACACCTTGCAGTCCAAGGGACTCGCAGGAGTCTTCTCCAGCACCATAGTTCAAAGGCCTCAATTCTTTGGCGCTCAGCCTTTCTTATGGTCATGAGCAAACTCACTTTGGCATTTATTTCTTTGTTCTTGTCTTATTATGTATTGGATCACAGATTATCGAACAATAAGGTTGGCTGTGAAAATTTCACTAGAAAGAGAATAAAACGGTCTGCAAACAAGGAGTCTGTGAGTTCCAGTCCAGCCTTAGCCAAGATAGGCATTTGGGGGGCTGTGGGCCAGTCCCTCTTTCTCTCCCCCAATATATTTTACTGGGTCGTTGTTCAGAAATTGTTAAGAAATTACAGCAATGTCGATCAATCTCAGGTTGATGCCAATGAAAATCCGTGCTTGACTAATCAGCAGGGCGTCAGCTGTTTTCCTCCTCCACCTTCCTGGCAGTTTAAATGCAATTTGTCTGAAGATCCCTTCCACCTCTATTCTATTCTATTCTATTCTATTCTATTCTATTCTATTCTATTCTATTCTATTCTATTCTATTCTATGCTATGCTATGCTATGCTATGCTATGCTATGCTATGCTATGCTATGCTATTCTATTCTATTCTATTCTATTCTATTCTATTCTATTCTATTCTATTCTCAATAAAGATTCTATTCTATTCTATTCTATTCTATTCTATTCTATTCTATTCTATTCTATTCTGTTCTGTTCTGTTCTGTTCTGTTCTGTTCCCTTCCCTTCCCTTCCATTCCCTTCCCTTCCATTCCATTCCATTCCATTCCATTCCATTCCATTCCATTCCATTCCATTCCATTCTATTCTATTCTATTCTATTCTATTCTATTCTATTCTATTCTATTCTATTCTATTCTATTCTAAACTTAGAAGTAAAGCTGGTAAGTTACCCTGTGGTAAGATGGGCAGACAATAGGTTTTATAAATAAATACATTAAAAAATCCTCAACCAAGAGGTTCATGAGCCTACCTGGCTCCTTGCCCATGAATGCCACCAACAACAATGCAAACAACAAAGCTTTCATCTTGCAATCTGTTCTGCAGCCTTCAAAGTGCAGTCCGGGATGGGAGAAGGAAGTTCTATATATATGCCACTGCCCCACCTTGTGGGGACTGGAGATGGAGGTTCAAGAGAGAAGAGCTTGGAGACTTCAGAAAGAAGGGAGGGGTAGGGGTGTGCGATCACATGCTACCCATTACACAAAGGGAAATCGGTTTGATAAGCTGAGGTTTATGACCAAGATGTTCAGTAGATAGCAGGCAAAAGAACACCCTGCTTAAATGGTTCTGTTCTGGTTGTTGTTTCTATGCTTGATGTGTCCCGGCAGAGTTTTCCTAATCAGGTCAGTAACACTGTCCATGCAGGAGAGAGTGAGGTTTTCCTTCCATCCCATGCTCGGATAATTTTATGTCACCTGCTAAAAGAGGATCAACAGGAAAGAGGCCATGATTAGAGAGATTAGTTGATTGATTGGTGCATTCTCTTAGACCCATAGGAGAATTATTTTGATCATCTACAAATTTGATCAGTTTCTGTGCTATTCCCTCCTCTGGATGGTTAATGAACATATTGAAGAGTACTGGGCCTAGAACGTAACCTTGTAGGACCCCACTGCTTTCTTCCCTCCATGTGGTTGTAGATCCATTGAGGACTAAATGTTGAGTACGATTTATCAGCCAGTTACAAACCATCTAGTGATGGTGCTGTTTATCCCACACTTTTTAAGCTTACCAAGATCTACTAATTTAGTCTCTTCATCAAAAAATGAAATAAGAAAATGTTTGGCATGATCAGTTTTGGAGAAAGAAAAAGCAGTAACGAAAGGTCTTAAGAATCATTTCTGTACTAATCAAAGTTGGTAAACCATCCGTGATTTGAAGCCACTACATGGTTGGTGATGGAGTTCCCCAGATTGATGCTTCTGGGGGACATAGCTTTGCTTTCTCTGGTTGGGGAATCTGAGGTGGAAGGGAGTTTCATGGTTTCAATGACAGCTGTTGAAGCCACTACTTGGTTGGTAACAACAACAACAACAACAACAACAACAACAAGTGACATTGACATACTTTATCTACCAAGGCAAATAGGTGGGCGTGGAATGCTGCAAGTACATCAGATGGCTGAAGAAGAAAAAATGGCTTTGGAAGAATATCTGAAGAACAATGATGAGGATGCCCTGAAATTAGTATATCAGGAAGGCTTACTGACTACTGGAGAGACCAAACTGGCCTATAAAAGACCAAATGAAGAACAGAATAGAGGCATGGGAAGGCAAAGTACTACATGACCAGTACATTAAAAAAAAAATACCTGGGAAAGCAGTTAATAACAAGACCTGGCAATGGCTAACAGCAGGAGAGTTGAAGAAAGAGACTGAGGCACTAATTCTGGCTGCACAAGACCAAGCCTTAAGGACAAATGCATATAAAGTCAAAATTGAGAAGACAGCAACAGACAGTCCAGATCCTCCTGTATCCTAAGCCTGTCTTCTGGAATGTTGGCTATTCCTGCCAGCTTGGTGTCATCCGCAAATTTGATGAGTTCCCCATCTATCCCCTCGTCCAAATCGTTGATGAAGATGTTGAAGAACACTGGGCCTAGAACAGAGTCCTAGGGCACCCCACTACACACTTCCCTCCATGTAGATGTGGTTCCATTGAGGACCACACGCTGAGAACAGACGGTCAGCAAGCTACGAATCCATCTGGTGGTGATGCTGTCTAACCCACATTTTTCTATCTTATCTAGTAGTAGGTTGTGATCTACTTTATCAAATGCCTTACTGAAGTCCAAGTAAATTACTGTATATCCACAGCATGCATCTGAACCACTAATTTTGTCATTTGGTCAAAGAATGCAATAAGATTTGTCTGGTATGATGTTTTTGACAAACCCATGTTTGCTTTTAGTAATAACTTTGTTTGGTGACAGAGTTCCCCAGAATGATGGTTCTGGGCTTTCTCTGGGAGGGGGATCTGAGACAACAGGGAGTTCATGGTTTCAAAGACAGCCATGCAGCTATCCCAGGTTATCTAGAGCTTGATGGTGGATCCTGGCCAAACTGCACCTTTGGTGTTACTGTAGGAACCGTGGGGAGGAACTGAGTACCGAGCAGGGCCAGGCAGGACACAATGGGCAGCTGTGGTTGTAGAGGAGAGTTGCCTCCGCAGCATCAGAGGCTGCTCCCTGCTCCACCCAGCAGTGCTATGTCCAATGGGAAGGCAGAGACCCACTTCTCGGCACAGGGATTGGATTTTGGGATGCCTGGATAGTTGTCCCACATTGCTTCAACTGGTAGAGGAAGCAGTGAAATGCACATATATGTCTGTTTTTAGGGCAGTGCATATTACACCACTGCTCCACCAGCTGCTTTGGTGGCCAGTTTGCTTCTTAGTCCAGTTCCAGGTGTTGGTTCTATCCTTTGACGCCCAGCAGGGAGATGGACTAAGCTATGGTGGGACTCTCTCCCCACAGTTATTGTACATCCTCCCACCCCATTAGAAGCTTAGTAAGTGATCAAATCTGGAACTGGAATACCCAGATAGGAGATTATGCTGAGCCCTGGCAGGGATAGGAAAGGATTGGAGCAGGAGTCCAACTTCCAGGTCTTCCTCCAAACCATGCTGCTTCTAAAGGAAACTGACGTATTTATGCACCATCTGAGATGGGCATCTAAGGCAGACTTGCACCCATTGGAGAAGGAAGAGGACTCAGGCGTTTTGCCCGTGGCACACATAAACTGCCTGACCTGAGAATGTAAACCAGCTGGAAAGGTGCCAGCTTAGAAATCTCTTTTTTCATTTCAATCCTTCCCTCTGCTTTGGCCATGGTGATGGATCAAGGTTCTATCAAGGCTGTGTTTAGCAGAGCTCCTGATAGAGGGATTCCCCCTCTTTTTTAATCTCCTGGATCTCTTTAAGGAAGGACACGGAATGACACTCATCTTCAATGTGTTTTCATGTCATTTCTCGCAGAAGGCCCATGCATGCTCGTCGCTCTTACTCAGTTTCAGAAAAATAATAATAAAAATTGATCTGTAAAATGGATTACAAAAAAAAAAAAAAAAAACCTTCAGCCTTCTATTATTCCATAATGGAACTTTCCAAAAAGGAAAATGGACACGTCATAGCAAACACATCGATTCCACTTGAATTTAAATGCACAAATTTATTCAGTTGCCAAATGACAGAAAGAGCACAACAAAGCTTGTAGGCCAGGAGAAAAGGGAGAGAGAGCAAGGTGTCAAAAAAAAAAAAAAAAAAAAGCTGAGGGGTTGAATTATGGACCGTAAAGGCCACAAGCCTAAATCTGCAAGGATGGCCCATAATGGATGACAGAAAAACTCAGAAGGATATTTTAATAAAGCTAGTTGCAAAAGTCAGTTGTGCAACAATAAGCTCTTCCAAAGTGCTGTTTAGGGCATGTTTGAGCACATCCTTTCTTCTTTTGGACTGTGGCAAAGGAAACAGAAAACAAAACATTTACAGTACCAAAGAATTGATCTGTGGTTGTTTGTGAACAAAACAGTAATCCCACACTGGAGACCCAGTCATGTATCTCCACCCAGCACCAAGGTGGACCTCCTTCCTCTTCTATTGACTACTTGGGAGTAAAATAGTAAACAAGCATTCTGGGAAAAGTCCATCTTCCTTGGATATTTCATGGCTTCATCTCCAAGTTCCAAACTTGGTGACGTCCACAGGAAACCCCCAGCTCTCCCAGGCTTTTCTTCCTACCCTCTTTCTATAAAGAATGTGCCCCCCCCCAAACTGGGGTGCTCCTGGGATGGATGGGGGTCCCCATTCTATGCCCCCCTTTCCTGGCATCCCTTAGACTGTAGGGCCATGATCTCAGGGGAACCGAGACAGGGCACAGAAAGGTCCTGGGTGATCTGGAACCCTGAGCTGCATTTTGGGAGTTCTAGTTTCCATACAAGAAGAAAAACTGTCAGAAAGGATAGGAACTTTCCTTACTATTTTGTGTAGTCGCAAAATAACATAACTTTTCTCCTTTCACACATCGCGTTTTCCATTCACAATATGATCCCAAACACATGTAACATTTTAGACTCGTGACTGTATGGAAGAAATAAAAGAGAGCAATCTTATTTTGGTGTTTATTTCTTTGATCTCATCTTACGATGTATTGGATCATAGATTATCGAAGAATTAGGTTGGCTGTGAAAATTTCACCAGAAAGATAACAAAGGAGACAAGGTGTCCTTGAGTTCCCAACCAGCCTTAGCCATGAAAGGCATGACAGGGTCATTCTTCAGAAATCGTTAAGAAATTACAGCAATGTCGACAAGGTTGATGCCAAGGAAAATCCATGCTTGACTTGAAAGAGGCATCTCTGATCCCCTTTGGTTGCACCATCGAAAACGCTGAATGTCAGCAAAGCCGGAGGGAGGCAGAGGGAGGGCAAAGACAATGGAACATTCTTCCTTTCACTCCCAAGAGTATTTCCACGGCGGGATTCACTACGCAAAGGAACCTCTACTTTCAGAGGCAGTCTACCCCAGAAGAACAGCTGGGCCAAGCACTGTCTCAGCTACGGGCTTCTCTCCAAATGGAGACCTCCTCTTTCCCCCTAAAGGCTCCCAGGGACCCTCCCTATGGAGAGCAGAACAGGGAGAAAATCCCACCACCAGAATGGGGCACAACTGCTTCGAATACCACACTTTGCTCCCATCCCTCAGTCTTTGCTTGATCCTCCATATTTCCACTCTGGGAGACCCAAGGGATGCTGTCGCCATCTTCTCAGGGTAATGTGCCCCAAATGGGGCCACCCTTGAAGAGCATTCAGAAGCTACAGCTGGTGCAGAGCACGGCAACGCAGGTATGTTTGGGGTGCCCATGAATGGTCCTTGTGGCCCCACTGCTCCGTGAGCTCCACTGGTTACCGTTCTGCTTCTGGGTGCAATTCAAGGTGTTGGGGGTCCCCTTTAAAGCCCTTCATGGCAAGTGTCCAGGTTAGTCTCACCCCCATGGGATTGGCCCGTCCCACTCATGCCTGCTGAGGGTCACACCAGTCTGACTATTCCAGCTGGAGGGAGCTGGAGGAGGGTCTTCTCTGCTGTGGGTCCTGCCCTCTGGAACATCATGACCCCCAATGTGAGGTGAGCCCCAACCCTCCTGTCTTTTCATAAGAGCCTAAAGATCTGGCTCTGCCAGTCGGCCTGGGTCCCCAGTTGAGGAATTGCACAACCGAGGTGCATGATGGAGTAATAACAGATCCCATACTTCCACCCCACTCCATTCCCGCTCTCCCCATCTTTCGTTGGTTTTCATGTTTGATTTTAACTTTTTATCTTTTAATGTAACTAGCTAACCAATGGCACTCAGTGTGTGGTCCTCGATGGAACTACTTATATATGGAGGGAAGAATGCAATGGGGTACCCCAAGGCTTTGTTTTAGGCCCAGCACTCTTCAACATCTTCATCAACGATTTGGACAAGAGGATACATGGAAAACTCATCAAATTTGCAGACAACACCAAGCTGTCAGGAATAGCCAACACTCCAGAAGACAGGCTTAAGATATAAAAGGAACTGGACAGACTTGAACAACGGGCGCTATCTAACAAAATGAAATTCAATGGTGAAAAAAGTAAGGTTCTACATTCATGCAAGAAAAACCAAATGCATAGGTATAGTATAGGGGTACCTCACTCAATAGTAGCAACTGTGAGAGGGATCTTGGAGTCCTAGTAGACAATTGCCTAAATATGAGTCAGCCATGTGCTGCAGCTGCCAAAAAAGTCAACACAGATCTAGGATGCATTAACAGAGGAATAGAATCAAGGTCACTTGAAGTGTTAATACCACTTTACAATGTCTTGGTAATGCTACACTTTGAATACTACATCATGTTTTGGTCACCACAATGTAAAAATGATGTTGAAACTGTAGAAAGAGAGCAGAGAAGAGCAACAGAGATGATTAGGGGACTGGAGACTAAAACATGTAAAGACAGGTTGCTGGAATTCGGTATGTCCAGTTTAATTAAAAGAAAGACTAGGTTTACATGATAGCAGTCTTCCAATATCTCAAGGGTTGCCCCAAAGAAGGAGTCAAGCTAATCTCCAAAACGCCTGAAGGCAGGACAAGAAGCAACAGATGATAACTAATCAAGAAGAAAAGCAACCTAGAACTGATGAGAAATTTCCTGTTAGAATAATGAACCAGTGGAACAATTTGCCTCCAGAAGTTATGGATGCTCTAACACTGGATGATTTAAGATTTAAGAAAAGATTGGACAACCATTTTTCTGAAGATCCCTTCCACCTTTATTCTATTCTATTCTAAACTTAGAAGTAAAGCTGATAATTCCCAGACTTATTCTATGGTAAGATGGGCACCCAAATTTTTTTATAAATAAATACATAATAAAATCCTCAACAAAGGTTCATAAGCCTACCTGGGTCCTTGCCCATGAATGCCACCAACAACAACGCAAATAACGAAGCTTTCATCTTGCAATCTCTTCTGCAGCCTTCACAGTGCAGCCCAGGATGGGAGAAGGAAGTTCTATATATATGTGTACCTCTGCCCCACCTTGTGGGGGCTGGAGTTCCAGATCCAAGAGGGAAGAGAAGGGAGACTTGGGAAAGAAGGGAGAGGTAGGGGGTGATCTCATGTTCCCCACTACACAAAGGGAAATCAATTTCATAAGCTAAGGTTTATGGCCAAGATTTCAATAGATAGCAGGCAAGAGAACACTCTGCTTGAATGGTTCTGTTCTGACTGTTCTTTCGATGCTTGCCATGTCCCTGCAGATCAGGAAACTCTCTCCATGCACGAGAGAGTGAGGTTTTCCTTCCATTCCACCCTCAAATAATTTTATGTCGCGTGCTAAGAAAGGGTCTGCAGGAATGCAGCCATGATTAGAGAGAACTTGATAGTTAGTTGATTGCTGCTTTCTCTTAGACCCCATAGGAGAATTATTTTGATCATCTACAAATTTGATCAGTTTCCGTGCTATTCCCTCGTCTAGATCAGACATGTCAAACAAAAGGCCCGGGGGCCGGATGCGGCCTGCGAAGTGGTTTTATATGACCCACAAAGCCATCCTGGAAACAGTGAGGGAACGGCCCCTGCTGCTTTGGCCCTGGCCTAGGCCGGCCGGAAGCCCACGTACAATTTTGTGGTGGCCATCTATGCTGAAACACATTCAGTCCTAGCTCCACAAGGCCATCTGGAAACAGCGGGGAACCAGCCCCTACCATGTCAACCCTCTCCCCTGGGTGCATGCTGGGGAGGTGTCACCCTTTGTGAGGAATGAATAAATGGACCATGCCTTGGCGCTTGCCCCAGTCCACCCCCTTCTGCCAGAGACCCTCAGATCTGTTCCACTCCTGCCCAGGCCCCCACAGGCACCCTTAACACGAACAATGTAGAGCTGGCCATGGCCACCCAGTAGGCCACACCCACTCCATCCATGCCTACCCAGTAGGCCGCATCCACCCTGGCCACACACCCCCTCCCCCTGAGAGCAAACTCAACGATAATGTGGCCCTCAATGAAATTGAGTTTGGCATCCCTGGTCTAGATGATTAATGAAGATATTGAAGAGTACTTGGTCTAGAACGTAACCTTGTAGGACCCCACTGCTTTCTTCCCTCCATGTGGTTGTAGTTCCATTGAGGACTACACGTTGAGTATGGTTTGTCAGCCAGTTAGAAACCCATCTGGTAGTGCTGCTGTCTATCCCACAATTTTTTTAAGTTTACCAAGAAGTAGGTTGTGTTCTCTTTTGTCAAACGCTTTACTGAAATCCAAGTATACTATATCCATAGCATTTCGCTGATCCACTAATTTAGTCACTTTATCAAAGAAGGAAATAAGAAAATGTTTGGCATGATCTGTTTTGGAGAAAGCCATGTTGGCTTCTGGTTATAACTTAAACTAATTTGAAATATCTATTGGGGATATTCAGCAGCTGAAACTATGTACAGTTATGTGAACCAAGGAAAAAAATAATGTTGGGGCTGCTTTAGTAATCAAAGTAATTTTACTGATTTGTTTGTTTATTATGCAATTTATTTGCTGCCCATCTCAAATCCAATGTCTCTAGGCAGATTTACAAGACAGGCAGGGTATATTTCTATTGAGAATAAATTTTAAGTAAGTTGAAATTCAATTTCTTAACCAAAACTACCAAATACCTTGAAAGCCAAAAGACATTAGAAAAACAGTAGTAAAGAAAGGTTTTAAGAATCGTTTTTGTACCAAAGTTGTAAACCATCCGTTCTGTTCAAGCCACTAGCTGGTTGGTGATGGAGTTCCCCAAATTCATGATTCTGGGGGACATTACTTTGCTTTCTCTGGGAGGGGGATCCAAGGTGGCAGGGAGTTCACGATTTCAATGACAGCCATGTAGCTGTCCCAGTGTCATGGTTCCGATAGATGAGACCCATAGAAAGAAGAACTCTGAGGCAATTGCTTTCCTTAAAGAACAATTTTAATGGCTAGATAATATCAGCACGAACATAGGTAAAACCAAGACCGGAAGTCCCCCCCCCAAAAAAGTTGTAAAGTAAAAGTTATTCCCACCTACTAAATATGTAATAAATCACATTCTCCAATTAACACCTTTGGCGGGCTTTCTAACGGTAGTTCTAGCCCGCCAAACACTTGAGCAATTTGACCTTGGTTCCATAAGAAAGTTATTGTTATGACTGAACTAGAAGAATGCATCTCCCATCCCTCCTTAGCGGTGGCAAGCTGAAAAAACGAAGAAAGATGGCTGTAAGCCAGAGTAGTTTCTGTAAGTTTGACAGTTGGATCCCCTAAAGAAGGGAAAATTTTCAAAAAGTCTCTCCAGAACCTAGCAGTGAACTGCACCCCTCTACCTGATATAATCCGCCTCGGGGTTCCATGGAGTTGGTAGATGTGTTTGACAAACATTCATGCCAGCTTCTTCGTGGAGGGGAGACCTGTGCAGGGGATGAAACGAGCTTGCTTTGAAGAAAGGTCAATCACAGTCCATATTATCATATTTCTTCTGCTTTCCGGTAATTCTATAATAAAGTCCATAGCGATCTTTTCCCAGGGTGGGGAAGGATCTGCTACCTACTGCAACAACCCAAGAGGTTTACCTGGACGCTTGTTCATTGTTACACAAATAGCACAGCTTTTCACATAGTTCTCAACGTCTTTCTATAGTTCTGGCCACCAGAACTGCCGTCAAATTAAATGTAAAGTCTTTAGGTAGCCAAAGTGACCTGCTTGCTTGCTATCATGGCTGCTTTGGAGAGCTTGAATTCTGAGAGTCTCAGGTAGATATAGTTTTCACCCCTTCCAAGCCAACCCGTCCCAAGAAGTCAAAATAGTTTTATTTGCTAGGAACCAGGTATCAGTTTCCAGCTCTTCTTTCAGTCTCTTCATAATCGGGTTATCAGGCTCAGTAGGTTTTGTGTGTGAACCCCCCCCCCCGTTCTTACTTGAGAAATCGATTGTGACTGAGAAATGACAGAGTTTATAAGTTCTTCTCGATGGCTTTGGTATTGGGGCAATCTGGACAAGGCGTGAGCCAGGAAGTTCTTACCCCCTGGAAGGTATTTCAGTGTAAAGCTGAAATGGCTGAAATACTGCACCCATCTGACTTGCTTGGGGGATAGTTTGCGAGGGGTTCTTAATGCCTCTAGATTTTTGTGATCAGTCCATACTTCAAAAGGCAAGTCTCCCCCCTTGAGACAATGATGCCATGCGAGCAAAGCCCACTGAACCACAAAAGCTTCTTTTTCCCAGACTGCCCACCTACGTTCAGTGTCTGTCAGTTTTTTGAAGGTGTAAGCACAGCGCTGTAAATTTCCATCTTTCTGTTCTATTGCAAAAGGACAGCTCCCACGGCTACGTCGCTAGCATTGGCTTGGACGATGAATTGCTTTTCAGGATCGGGGTGTTTTTAAGAACGGGTTCTGCTCAAACAGTCTCTTTAAGTTCTCCAAAGCAGTTTGGCATTCAATTGACCATGGCAGAGGTTGGCAGGGCCATGGCTTACCCCCATTTTTCTTTGTTTTTAACAGTTCAGTCAGTGGCAAAGCAATTTCAGCAAAAGAGGGAATGAAATAGAAGTTTGCAAAGCCCAAACAGCTCTAGAGCTGTTTATGGGTACGTGGGCATTGCCATTCCAGTACGGCTTTCACCTTGGCTGGGTCCATCTCAATGCCTTCACTGGAAATCCTATATCCCAGGTAATCCAGGCGTGTTTGATGGAACTCCTGCTTTGAGAGTTTTGCATAAGGTTTTGAGTTTAACAGTTTTTTAAGTACTTCACTTACTAAGTTGACATGCTCCACCACGGTCTTTGTATAAATGAGAATATCGCCAAGGTAAACTAAAACTCCTTTGTAGAAGTGATCATGCAGCACTTGATTAATCAATTGCATGAACACAGCAGGAGCCCCCTGCAGACCGAAAGGCATAACATTGAAGTGGAAGCTTCCTAAGGGGCTGTTAATAGCTGTTTTCCACTCGTCTCCTTCCTTGATCCTTATTCAGTAATATGCCTCTCTTAGATCTAATTTGGTAAAAAAAAAATCCTTTCACCAGATGGGTGATCATGTTCTTCATCAAGGGGAGGGGCTACATGTTTTCCATGCTGACAGCATTTAACCCTTTAATAGTCAATGCACAATCTTATTAATGCACAATCTCATCTCTCTTTTCTTTAAACAACACTGGAACAGCCAATCGAGATTTCACCGGTTGGATAAACTCTCTGGCTAAGTTCTTACCAATGTATGCGCTCAGTTCTTTCAGTTCACGAAGGTCATTGAATACAGTTTAAAAAAATAATAATATAAATTTATCTGTAAGATGGATTACAAAATAAACAAACAAACAAAAACGTTCAGCCTTCTACTATTTCTGCAATGGAACTTTCAAAAAAGGAAAATGGACACGTCATAGCAAACACATCCACCATGCTTGAATGTAAATACACAAATGTATTCAGATGCCAAACTACAGAAAGAGCACAGCAAAGCTTGTAGAGTAGGAGAAAAAGGAGAGAGGGTGAGATGTCCAAAGAGGCCGAGGGGTTGAATTGTGGACCGTAAAGGCCACAAGCCTAAATCGGCAAAGATGGTCCGTGATGGATGATAGCAAAACTCAGAAGGATATTTTGTTAAGCCCTGTTGCAAAAGTCAGTTGTGCAACATTCAACCAGCCTTCCGTGGATCTCTCCAGGGCACCTCCAAGCACATCCTTTGTTCATTTGGCCTGCAGTGAAGGCAAAATAAAAAAAAAACATTTACAGTGCCAAAGAACTGACGTGCGGTTATTTCTGAACAAAATGGTAAACCCACAGTGGACACACAGTCATGCATTCCCACACAGCATGAAGGCGGACCTCCTTCCTCCTCTACTGACTACTCGGGAGTAAAATAGTAAACAAGCATTCTGGGGAAGGTCCTCTTCCCTTGGATATTTCATGGCTCAATCTACAAGGCCCAAACTTGTTTCATGTCCGTAGGAAGCCCCCAGCTCTCGCAG